GAGGGGTGCAACAATGAATGAATGGAATTCCAAAATCTCTGTAGATGTTCATTGAAATGAAAAATAAATTTAAAAAAAAGAAATCAAAGGTGTGTTACATGGGGAAATCTGCTATCAAGGATCTCTCCACAGTGTTAAAGAACAAGGATGTTAGTTTAAAGATTAAGGTGTGCCTTGTTCAAGCCACAATATTTTCAATTGCTTCCGGTTTATCTGAAAGTTGACTGATAGACACATTGATGCCTTTGAATTACGGTGTTGAAGAACAATGAATAGCCCATAGACTTCTAAAAGATCAAACAAGTGTGTCTTGGAGGAAGTACAACTAAGATTCTCATTAGAGGCAAAAATGGTGAAATTTAGTCTCATATACTTTGGACACGTTGTCAGGAGGATGCAGTCATTGGAAAAACACAACATGCTTGAAAGGTGGAGGGTCAGAGAAAGAGAGGAAAACCCTCCACAAAATGTTTGACACTGTGACTGTAACAATGGGCTCAAACACAACAGAGATAATGAAGATGGGGCAGGGTTAGGGCAAGGTTTATAGGGCTGCTATGACTCATAGTCAACTCAACAACACCTAACAACAGCTAGACGTCTTGGAAGCTTTTATATTTCCGTAGATATTTGACATTTCAGGTATTACTATTTCTTTTCTAAGCTTGGAAAAGTACAACATTCTCCATAAACTATTTGATGATTCTTGGTGTTGTTTGCACATCTCTCCTGCATAAGAAAAGATAAAAGTCATAGCAGGTTAAATTTTGAGAACATTATGTTTAAACTATGATATGCAAGACTCAAGTTGGGAATGAGAAAGAGGGGAACAAAATTAATAAATATATAATTTGGATAAAGAAGAAAGTCAGTAGCAAACATAATTTGATTAGGCATTGTAATGAATCAATTATTCTAATCAATTATAATTAATGTTATGAAACAAAATACCTGTTAATGATTAAATGAAAAACCATCATAATTTGTAAATTTTAATTCTAATAAAAAAATTGGGCAATGAATAGTAATTTTTGGCTTCCTCCTTTTACTCTAACCTTGGTGATGCCTCAGAAACAAATGAGAGCAGATGGGACTTAGTATAAAGATTGTAGGTGATACTTCCAAAGAAAAGGTACAAATGAGGAGACAAAGAACACAGATGTGTGAGTACTGAAATAAAAGACGAGAACTGCCCCACTAATGTCATGTTGTTGTTGTTGTTAGGTGCCGTCGAGTCATAGACAACTCATAGCAACCCTATGAACTAAAAGCCTGAGCACTGTTCGTACATAGAGTTTCCAGAGGCAAGCAATTTCAGCAGTGGATGCCACTCCTGCTTCCAAGCTTGTTTTAATTGGGAAGCTCCACCAAACATTGTCAGCCATGGGTCACCATTAATGCATTTGGCACATCAGTGTCACAATGTTTAGCATCACAGCAACCACGAGTTCCCTCTGTAAGCAATGCACAGACTAGTGCTATACCACCTAGAAGAACGTTTGACAAAAAAAAAAAAGAAGAAAAAAAAAAGCAACCCACAAAACAATTTGAGATAGGCCTGAGGGCCACAGATGAAAATCAACCACCTTGGGCTTGATAGGATAACTTCCTGTCCACTAGACCAACATAATTCTCTCTATGTTAATGTTGTTAACAACAGTTAGGTGCTGTCGAGTTGTAGTTGACTCATAGTGACCCTATGAACAAAAGGCCTGAGCACTGTTCATAGAGTTCCCGGAGGCAACCCATTTTGGAAGTGGATACCACTCCTACTTCCAAGCTTGTTTTAATCAGGAAGCTCCACCAAACACTGTCCACCATGGGTAACCATTATCAAAAACTAATTCATAGAGAGGTATTAATGAGGCAGTGAAGGTACAAATTTTACAATAACACTGATACATCTCAAGATGTATAGGAGAACAAAACTTAAAAACAAACACATTTTTGTTGAGTCTATTCCAATTCTGTGATCCTATGTATTAAAGAGTAGAACTGCTTCATGGGGTTTTCTTGGCCATAATTTTTATAGAAGGAGATAGTTAGGACCTTCTGTGGCACCAATGGACAAAGAGTTACAAAGCAGAACCAATCAGAATTGATAGAAAGAAATAATTTAATATATGAGTTGGATGATTGACTATAGTTCATGAACGAATAAATGAGATGGAACAGATTTTAAGATGCTTTAGAAAACTTGAGGAAGAGAGAAAATGATTTAAGAATGTAATAGTCCAAAACAACTATGAGATATCATCTCACCTGAGTCAGAATAGCAAAATTTAACAGAAAAGCAAGCAACAAATGCTGGCAAGGTTGTGGAGAAACTGGAACCCTTATTCACTGTTGGTGGGAGTGTAAAATGGTGCAACCACTGT